GGGGACCTGGCCGGCTGAACTGCCGTCCAGCTTCCCCAAGAGAGACAGAGACTGAAACACAGCGGAAAGTTTCCAAGTGCAATCACAGGGGAGTCGGGGACTCTAGATGAGTCAGCCCCAACCTCCCGAGAGCTCCACACCGGCCTCTCCTTTCCCCCACCGCAAGAGCCTCGAGCCGCAGAGACTTCCAACTAGCCGGAGAGGACCAACCACGGTCTCAGCTAGGTGTGCAAGCACCGGGACGCTCCGTACGACCACAGGCTGTGCCTCCGGAAGCTAGAGACGAGCATCAGCTGCGCAAAGCCCAGGGGTCCTGCAGCACCCGCTCCACGTCTTTCCTCCCTCCCCACTCTGGGGACAGTCGGAGTGGCCGAGCGCAGCTAAAATGGGGTGGTTGCCTGGGAGCGGGAGCGTAGCCGTGCGAGCGCGGAGGGGCGCGGAGGACACTGCGCCCGGGCGTTCGCCGCCCTGCGCCTTAATTTGCTGGCAGCTGCGATCCCCGCGGCCCGCAGCCAGTCAGCGCCGCCACACGTCACCGCTTCCTGATTCCGCCGCTGGGGGCGGGGCCGCGGGATCGGGTTGGGAGGGCGCGCCCGGGGCGCGGCGCCCGCGTGGCCTCGCTCAGCAGCCCGATGGAGCATGGCACCCGTTCGGGGAATGGGGTGACACCAGCAGGTTGGCGCAGCGGCCGCGGACACAGCCCGCCTGGTCTCGCAGTCCAGGAGTGAGAAGGAGGTGATCGCTGTCGGGAGGGGGCATTTTGGTCGCGTCCTAAGACCTGGGATCTCAGGAACGTAGACCAGAGGAAGCCTCGGGGAGTTTTTGCTCCTTCCATTCTTTTTCTTACTGGTGCTCAAAGTTGCAAAAGAAAGTTAGAAAGCGCTAAGTAGGGCAGAAACCGACGCCGTAGAGCTGGCGCCAATGGGCCAGAGCCCATTCGCCGGGCAGCACCCAGGGCTGGATACCTGTACTCGTTGGGCTCCAAAATCTGGCTGCTAGACAGTGGGGCTGGAGAGATGTAGCCCTGCAAAAGATACGCTAAGTGAGAGCTGTGAGCATTTGGCAAAGGATGATCTCAGAACCACGGCTTCTTCTGCACACCGGTGCGCCTCTCATTCAGGGTTCCTGTTCTCGAGAGGGACTCTCGAAAATCGGGCCTTGACCGAGGGGAAGGCGAGGGGCAGACGCCGTGCCGGTGTGTGTGGGGGCTCGGCACCCTGCTGGGACCACGCGACGCGCAGTTGGAGAGTGCGAGCCTCACAGCGCCCGGGCTTGGGGGACACGGAACCTTCAGCCTTCACACACTCAGTTACGACCTGGACTTCCCACGGCCTTATGGGGGTCGTCTTGCTGGCCTTGTTCAACTTGAATAACTTAAATTCTCCGAATTCGCAGGGTAATCCGCTTCACTCGGAGCCGTGTAAACTTAGGCTGACACACACACTCAAGCTGTACATGTAAATATTTGCGCTCCTTTCCAATCAGTCGGTTTGGCGATTAGGAGCCTCTTGGTGGGTCTTGAAAGGGAAAAAAAAAAAGAAAGAAAGAAAGAAAGGAAAGCAGCTCCCATTTCCCACCAATGTTTTTCTTTCTCCACGGCACACACATTCCCCACCCCCTGAAATAAACTTATGGGGAAAAAAACCTGAAAGTCAAAAGTTGAAATCGTCCATGAAAGTAACATGATGACAGCTGGGGGACTCGTGATTTAAGCCTGTCTTGTCACCGTGTATCAATAGTTTCTAACAATGTACTGCATGAGAGTGAGTAAGGAACATTCTGATATTAGTCTCGATGTATAGAGAGTGTATGTAATTTAGGGGGAAATTTGTAAAACTATAGACTTTTGTGCTGGGAGGGATTTACGCTGTCTTCCAGCCCAGGTCCATTTGCTTTGAGAGGGTGGCAGGGTGGTGCATCTCCCCTAAAATCGGCCCAGCCAGCTAGAGGCGCAGACCTGCACTCCAGGCGAAGATTTTGATCACTCCCGGGCCCTGCAGCTGTGCCTGGGCTATTCACGGGAGATCCACAGTAGAGTAACGCTGGCTGAGAATGCTTTCAGATTAAACTTTGGTAAGAATAGAGGCTAAACCACTGCATGCGCCTACAGATTCTTTTCTATTCTTGAGTCTTTGGTCCTTTGCTGTTTTTGGACAGCCCAGACACTTGGGTTAATAAAGCTTCCACCCCAACACACACCCTATCTCAGTCAATGCAACAGTGACATTTCCCTTGTTTGAATGTAAGGCGCAAGCTTGTCCCTGTCCCGTCTCAAGTGCTTACTGTTTGGCCAGGAAGGGAGATTTCTGTCATGAGGTTTTTGGGGGGCACGAGGTGGGTGGTTGTTTGTTTTGGGTGAGTGATATCATAGTCTAGAACTTCATGCTTCAACTGGGCATCGAAGATCTTATTTGCTGGTTTCAATTTTCATATGAGGAAACTTCACATCTTAATTATCTTAACGGTTCAGGCTGGAATTTGAATAATTTCATGACAGGGACATTTTTAGAAAAATTGGCGGAGCAAGGGGGAAAATGTTTTGCCCCCGATCAGTTTCCACTTTTTCAATTGCCCATGCAGCCTTAGCCCAATTTTGGGTCTCTAGTGGGCAGCGAACTTTGACTATTCATCCTACTGCAGGCAAAATAGGAAGCTAAGCTAGGGCGCGGAGGCAGGCAGCACACCACAGGAATTGAAAGGACCACTTTAAACAAATTCGGGCTCTAGAGGTGAGCCGTTTGGGGATCCCTAAGAAGTGATGCATCTCGTTGGTGTTGAAACCGCGGCAATAAAATGTATACTACAGCATAATTATCAGGGGCACACTGTCCCTTCTCTTAGATTTATTGCCTCTACAAATCAATACCGTGCTGTAAAAACGGGGAACCAGTGCTTGTCAGAGAGGTGCCGTCACAGGGTGATTCAAAGCCCACCCGAAGAGGAGATCGCCCAGTTCAGAGGTCCCTTCAAAACCCAGGTGTTAGCGCGGGTTAACAGGTAAAGCTACCGAGGGGGTTGGAACAAAGCAATCACATTAACACTTCCCTGCAGGCCCTTCTCAGGCTGACTTCAGGAGGGCGGGGGCGACTTTTGGACACCGGAAACTGCCTTGCACTTGGAGAAGGCTTTGAATCTTGACTTTAGCCCACTTTAGCCCTCCCTGAGACTTGGTACAGGTTATCCAAATTTCTCAAAGCCTTAGTTTCATCATCTACATTAAAATAGACCAATAATTTATTCCTACCTAGAATATCGCTCTGTGGATTAAATGGATTAAGGTGCGTAAAAAGCCTAAACAGTTACCCCAATATAAGTAAACCATGAGTACAGCATTTTACTATATTTAATTTTTGAGCTGCAATTTCGCGATCTCAGAGATCTTTCCTTCGCGTGCTCACGTACAGGTAGCTGTGTAGACAGTTTTGGAATGTACGGATTGGGGTCACATTGTGGTAGTGGACCATTATTTACATCTTGCTAAACTTTGGAGCCTAGGAATTAAAATTTGGGGTTATATGTCTGAGTCTGGTTATACGGAGTTTGATTATATGGAGGACTGGAAGATGTCTCTTTATACACACTACCGTTTCAAATTGTCATTTGTAGTCTCCGGAACTCAAAAGTTGGTCGACCCCAGAACTATGCAGGAAGAAACGGTTTCACGATTTTGGCCAATAGCCCCTCGCTTAATGGACGTTAACACTAACGCAGAACCCTCCGCTGACAGCGGTAGGGATCCTCCACCCGCGTGGGACGACTGCGCCCGGAGCGGCAGGACCCGGTGCCACACCAAGAGCACCGCCCGGTACCCGAGGGCGAGAAAGGAGACCCGCTTCTCAACGCAAGGGCAGCTCTACTCCCGAGATCTCGTCCCCATCCTGTTTAACGCTCTTTTTGGTAAACTCCTTAAAAGCAAAAGAAATTGGCTTCGGTGCCTTTGGATTCCTAAATTCGGTTTACCGAACAAGAAAGACACCCGAAGCAGCGTAGGGAGCGCGGCCGCAGCCCCTTGGAAGCCGGTGCTACACGTCCCGGGGCCTCGCCTTGAGCAGCGCGCATCCCTGGGCTCGGTAGGGAGCGCGCGGCGCAGCCTCCGATTTCACTGTGCGGCGAGAGGAGTGGTCTGAGCCTTTCTTCTGAGGAACCCGGACCAAGGCTCAAATGCACATCTTGACGGAATTAAGTTTTTTTGAACCCAAGTGGTCGCCGAGAAGTGCCCCCTCCAGTCCCGGCCGCAAGAACGGGCCCGGAACGTCCGGAGCTCAGGTCCACCCCGGAGGCCCCAGGGCCGGGCGACTCGAGGCGTCCTCGCCCAATTCCGGTTCTAAGGGCGAAGCATAGATCATCTCCTCGAGGGGCGCGGCCAGAGTGTCATTCAGCGGGGGTGGTGGTGGTGGTGGGGTGTGTGTGTGTGTGTGTGTCTGTGTCTGTGTGTGTGTGTTTGTGCGCGCGCGCGCGCGCCCAAGCGGCCCGGGACTTCACACTGGCGCCCGGCTGTGGAACCCAGGAAAGGGACG